CCCCACCCGCCCCGGCCCCCCACGACTCCCCCCCCCAAAAGTGCGACTCGTCGGAGCGGGCGAGCGCAGGAAGCCCGCTGGGCCGGCGCCCACCTGGTGCTGGGGCGGTGGTGGGCTGCGAGGGCGTCGGCACCCGGGTGGTGACAGGCTTGGTGGGCGCTGGAGTCGCGGGTTCAGTCACGTTGGAAGTCACGGTGGAGTTCGCCTCCACAGAGAGCGCGCAGAACGCAGCCAGGCAGGTGGCGGCCCAGAAGAGCAGGCGAGCGAGCCCCGACATCGTGTCCTCCGCACTGGCGTCCCGGACAAAGATGCGGCGCACAACAGCTCCGACGGTTCTTCCGTCGGCCCCACCGTCCCCCGCGGCGCCACTGCCAAGACTCCGCTCCCCTGCGGGAGCGCGTAAAGGTCACGTGACGGGTTCCCGACCGCGGCAAGGGGGCGGGGCGCGGCGCAGAAGGGGCGGGGATAGGGAGAGACCAATTGGAATCCTCCGGGGGGGGGTAAGCGTGACGGCCAGAGGAAACGTTACGGTGACAGTACAGCAAGAAAGACTCCATTCGCTATAGAGTGTCGTCACTGATCTCACAGTACTTACGCGCGGTGCAGCTGAGGTGTTCTCACGATTGGGATAGGGAAGCCCCTCACTCCGGTTTGACTGGTACGTCCCACATGACGTGGCAAGCGACGTCCGCCGAGCTCCCGGCACACCCAGCTCTCCTTCCACGGCCTCACGTGACCTGGGGGACCTGAGTGGGCCGGGCGGAAGTTGTTCCCAGGGCCATGAGTAAAGTTTGGTCTGTGTTTCCCACCGTGCTCCGTCGGCCCCGCGCGGGACCCTTGATCGAGTCGGAGACCTTTGGTTGTGTTGGAAGCAACTCTAGTGTGGGTCACCCCCGGGGTAACGAGGAGTTCCTGCTCGCCCGGCCCCGAAAGCAGCCTCCTGCCCGCACAGTCTGAGCCGCCCCGTCCACGTTACCAGCCTGACCCTCCCGAATTTCGTTTTCAGTCAACGGCAGCGGACGGCGTGCCAACTCCACTACTAGAAGTCAGAGTCAAAAGCGGCCCGGCGCCCACACGGACACCGACAGACAGACAGACACACACACACACACACACACCACGGGCGAGGAAGAAGTCAGAGTCAAAAGCGGCCCGACGCCCACACAGACACCGACAGACAGACAGACACACACACACACACACCACGGGCGAGGAAGAAGTCAGAGTCAAAAGCGGCCCGAAGCCCACACAGACACCGACAGACAGACAGACAGACACACACACACACACACACACACACACCACGGGCGAGGAAGAAGTCAGTCAAAAGCGGCCCGAAGCCCACACAGACACAGACAGACACACACACACACACCACGGGCGCGAGGAAGCTGACCCTGGACTGTAACCTGACCGAGCCCCCCGATTGCCTGGTTTCAGAGTTGGATTTTTCAGTGCTTGGTAAGGCTTCTGCTCTGGCTTTCGGTGTAAGTGAGCGCCCTCTGATGCTCACTCTCACGAAATATTCGCCGGCTTCTGCCGAGTGGTAAAAATCAGACTTTAAAGTCGTTTGTGGCCATCTGTTTCCGCTATTTTGTCATGAAAATTTGATGACACATTTATCCTAATAAAATGACACGGATTTAATGGCTTTTGTGAGGTCTATGTTGCTGGGCCCAAAACAAACCACCAAAAAAGGGCAGCAGAAAGACGTTATTTTTTGGCTTAAGGGAGAAAACCTTTATGGAGGTAAGTGATCTAGACTTAACCCAACACTTGGCCAATAGATGTGAGTTTTAGGACTCCTTTTTGCCCGAGAGACCCTGTAAATTTCTCTCTGTATCCACTGTTTGCAGCTTCTTAACATTGCAAAGAAGGTAGGTGCACACTCTTTATTTATGTCCCTGTAATTTAACACCTAACCCTGGAAGGTGAAGGGAGAGGAGCTTAACGACTTTGATTGTTTTTACTTCCTGGTTTGTTTTCAATATACGAGTCTGGCCCTTTAAAATACTTATAAAAATAAGTATTCCTTTCCCTATTGCCTCATTTATTTATCCTACCTCATAATCTCTAGAACTAGATCAAGAAAGAGATCCTAAGCATTCTCACCAGTCCACAAGGAAACTTTATTTTCAGTTTTCAAAGGAGCAGTGTTCTGTTTATTACCATATTTGTCAGACTTGGCACTATTGAGATTTTTAAGCTAGCTAACTCTTTAGTGCTTTTTGGGCTGTTTAGTGGCAACCCTGGTCTTTACCCATTTGTAGCCAGAAGCCCCCTCCTTGGGACAACCAAAAATTCCTGACATTTCAAGAGTCCTTTAATGGTAAAAGAACCATTTGTCCTAGAAGGTTATGTTTGTATGGCCAGCCCTCACTCAGCTTATTTCCTCTTACTTTGCCTGCAATTAACATTATTGATTGATTAATTGTTGGAGCCACTTTCTTATCTATTTCTTCTCTTGAAAGCAGCAAGTCACAGTGCATGGCTCTTGTGAATCTGTTAGTCATATAAGCTTCCTCTAAATTTTTAAACAGAAAAAAACCAATTGCTTTCCATAAACCCCTTCCCCTAAACAGAACAGCTCTCCAAACAGGAGACTGCCTTCTTATCAATTCAGTGTAATGTCACTAGTATCCAGTGGACATTTAGGAATCAAAACTTTGGCTCTCTTACTAGATGGCAAAGAATGGAAATCCTCTTAACCTAGCTGATATTAAAAGGGATTCATTATTAAGAATATGTAAGTAGCTCTCTCTGTTTTTCTAGCTCTTTCTCAGCTCTTTCCTTTTCTTTCCCAGCTCCCTTCTCTCTCTGCTGTCTCTGGTCTTTTCTAGCTCTTCTCTTTTCTAGTTACTTTCTCTCTTTTCTAGCTCTCTCTCAGCTCTTTTCCCCACCTCTCTCTCTTTTTTTCTTTCCCAGCTCTCTCTTTCCCAGGCCTTTTGCCAGCCGCGTAGAGTGCCAACCTTGCCTGGTCCCAGCAGGTCTACTGAATAAACCTACCCCTTACCTGAATACCACGTGCCTGCTACTGTTCTTACTCAGCCTACCTCTTTTTAAAAACCTAACATAAATAAAAAACTTAAAAAAAAAGAATATGTAAGTAAATTTTACATTCAGAGATGGGAAACTAAGTGTGTGTGCACAAAAGGGAATCTAGAACTTAGGAGGAATTCCTGGCATATGGTCCTGGCTTGCGACGACATTGTATCAGGCCAGCTCTAACACCCACAGCTAACTATTGCATTGCCCATGATTCCTGTACCTGGACCTACCCGCTACTTACCTCTGTCCTTAGCCCATCTCAGGAAATCTGCACAAGAGCTCTTTGAACTTTTAATTCCAACTGCATAGATTTTCTTTTGCATCAGGATCTTGATTATGTGGTTTCACCTGCCTCAGCCACTCTTTCTGGCACCTGACCAACTCCTACTTCTCCCTGCAGGTCTCTCAGTGAAGATGTCACTGCCTCTAGAAAGCCATCCTTAAAATCCCAAACAGCCCTCATTTCCACTCCTGGCCCCCAGGTGCTCTTGATGTGCTCTTCTGCACCCTTCACTTGCCTGTAATGAACTACATAGCCCATTATATTGCAATTGTCTTTTCCACTGCAAAAATAGGGACACTCTCCAAATTATTCTTTGCACCAGACATGATATCTGACTCATAATAGCTACTTAAATTGACTTTATAAAAAAATGAGTAGCCAGATGCTACTTACTCAGTCTATATAACTTTAGGTACTCAAGAGGTTTGGATCAAGAGGATCCTGGGTTCAAGGCCTGCTTGGGCAGAAAAGTTTATAAAACTCTGTCTCCCAAATAATCAAAAAAGGCTGTGCTGAGGATGTGAATCAAGTGATAAGAGCACCAGTCAAGCAAGCAAACCACAAGAATTTAAAGCCCTGAGTTCAATCCTCAGTATTGGATTGGGCGGGGGGGGGGGGGGGAGGGGGAGGGAGCACTACAGAAGGGGGAAGAGAGTAAAAGTCAGTTGTCCACTCTTACTGAAAATAGCTGTAGGTAAGAACCACAAAAGGCAACTACAAATAGTTCCCTCAATTCTGCCCCTTCTTGGGTTTGGAACAGGGAGATTACTTAGAATGGGATATGGGTGGGAGGGAAGGACCTGCATTTATAATGCCACCTCAATAATACATATTTATCCTTCTATAGAAAGTGTAGCTCAGCGGTAGAATGCTTGCCTAAAGCGTACTTGGGGTTCAATCCTCATCACGGAAAAAAAGATTGCAACCAAGTATAAAACTGAACTAAATCTATTTTAGATTTTCAGCATTAAAAATGTAATTAAGACTGACTCAAAGTATTAAAGATTCCTTCAAATTAGATTAGTAGATTGGAAGTTCCTATGGTGTTAGTGAAATTTACATAACAGGATAACAGGTTAGTGAGTTGAAATGGTGGCATTCTGCTTGTCGGTGGACTAGTTTTGAAGGAAACTGTTTTGTTTTGTTTTGTTTTTGATTTGTTACAAAATACTTTAATTTCATATGTGACAAAAAAAAAACCCAGAACATTTTTAGGTTATAGACAACAGTGAATCTTTAAAAATCAGGCCATTTATTTGCTATGGCACTCATATACACTATTTTGAGTGTTATTCCTATTTCTGTACACATATGATAAAGGTTTGAGGTTTTTTTTAATTTAATTTTATTTTATTTGTGAACATACTGTACAGAGGAGTTACAATTACATGGGCAGGATAATGCATACATTTCTTACCAAGCATTGCAGCCTCCTCCTTTGTTTACCCTTCACATCCCTTCCCAGCCTCCCCCCTCCCCCTTGAAGGAAACATTTTTGAAGGGAAACCTTTATTGGCTGTCTCACTCTTCAGTATACTACAAGGTTAAACTGAGCCACTGTGAATCATGCCTATAATCCTACTATTCAAGAGGCTGAGATCTGAAGAGCACTGTTCAAAATCAGGCCAGGCAGACAAATCTAAAAGAGACTTATCTCCAATTAGCCAGCCAAAAGCCAGAAGTACAGGTGTGGCTCAAGTGGTAGGGAGCCAGTCTTGAGGAATAAAGCCAAGTGAGACTGCTAGTCCCTGAGTTGAAGCTTCAGTACTGGCACACACACCACTATAAGATTAGACATATTATTTTGCAAATACAAATGAAACCCTATAGTAAATGATTATGTTGCTATTGATTTTATAAAATTTGCTGAAAGAGTGAGAATAGCTTATTTCTATTTATAAATCAAAACAAAAATTTAAAAAAAGGTTAAGTGATTTGACCACTACAGGAAAGGTGATTCTAAAATAAATGTTTAGCTTTAAAATGTACAGAAAATATAAACACTTGTAGTCTACAATCCTGAGGTCGCTAGACAATCCAAACACTGACAACTGGCACTGTTGGCAGTGGAGGCTAATTTTTTTTTTTTTTTTTTTTGTCAGTCATGGGTTCTGAACTCGGCCTGCGCACTGTGCCTTAGCTCTTCAGCTCAAGGCTAACGTTCTACCACTTGAGCCACAGCGCCACTTCTGGCTTTTTCTGCTTATGTGGTGCTGAAGAATCAAACCCAGGGCTTCATGCATGCAAGCCAAGCACACTACCACTGAGCCACCTTCCCAGCCCCTTGTTTTGATTTCCTTTTTGAAACAGAGGCTCCCAAATAGTCTAGACTCCTAGAATTTTCTGTGTAGCTGAGGCTGGACTTGAACATGCTTCCCAAATGCTGGGATTACACATGTGCACCAAAGTACCCATATTTGATACAAATCTTGCTTATTTGCATGACCTACTGTAGCAACAGCACATGAACTTAACTTCGGCATGTCAGTGATCAGGGCAAGTTTCTCACATAATTAACATTTTATATACATTATTAACATGTATTTATTTTCCCTATTTCTAGACTAAGAAAAATCTTAATCCTTTCTGTTTATATTGTCAGCCTTCTTATGTATTTTTTTTACATTTGTTTTTGGGATAAGGTTTTGAATGCCTTATCACAATGTTTCTTCAAACTACATGGTTAACCATACAGTTTTAACAGAAGTACTGCTGTTTACCCTTCTAAATGATGTGCATAAGAACCAAGGTGCCTATAGACTTTTTCACTAAAATATCTATAGCCCAGTAATGGAAGGGTGAATATGATCAAAGTACATTGTATATGATAAAAATGTCTTGATGACACCATTAAGATTTATGAAAAATCTACAAATATATAAGCAAATATGTGTTTAAATTTAAAACCTAAATTTAAAAAACTAATAAGTAGCATTGCACTTTCAAATGTGATATACACCTAATTTTAACCCATTTGAATATATGTAGCCTACTAACTGTCTAGGATCATGACCATCGTTTATTTTTAAGGAAACAAACTGCATGACACATGGTAAATGTTGGTTTGTGGGGGAAGAAATTCTGTCCTCTGAAAGTGGAAAGTTACCACAAAGGGACCATGGACTTTTATCCTTAAGAAGAGAAACTGAATGTTACCTTTACATTATTAGATTGTTACATAGTTAGATAAAGTGATATGGACTCAGTTTCTTACACACATGCAAATATCTCAGTTCTTTGACAGTATCAGACAAAATGCTTAAGGCCATTCCCATAGATTCATCAACAGTAAGAACTGCTCAAACTGTTCCTCTGCTTGTTAAATGTGACCAATGCTAGTAACATGCTTTAACCATGATCCCTGCAAAGCATCGGTTTGATTTGATTGCTTCATTAGTTGATGAGTCTTGGTGACCAGCCCCATTCCCTCTTATTTCAGATGTCCCCAATATGACCTAAGGAGTGGCCAAAGGCCTAGAAAGAGGGTCTAGAAGCTGCATAGAAGAGACAGAGTTCAGCTGGGTGTGATGGTAAGTCCAGCACACAAGAAGTTAAGTCAGAAGGACTATAAGATTAAAGCTAGCCTGGCCTACATAGTGAGATCCTTGTCTCAAAAAAAAATCCTAAATTATTGCCTAGAACTCTGAATATAAAAAGAGGAGTTGGCTCTGCTCTGTTTGACATATATACATAGACACATATGTATGTATATACATATATTTATATACATGATTCTAACTATGGCAGTATTTAGGGGAATAAGGGTGAGACTCGAAAGAGGGGAAAAGAAAGATGGAGTGTGAATGATTTCTAAATACATTGCAACTGTGTATAAAGATGGCATAAAGAGCCTCAACGAAACTGTTGATCAGGAGGGAGTTGAGAGGGTAGAGATAGCCGGAGGGTGAGTTATTCTGAGCAAAATGAAATACACATATGAAATACCATAGTGAAACCTCCTCAGTGCAATTAATGCACATTAAAAAGAAGAAAATGACAAGAAAGCAAAAAAAAAACCCACGCTGTTAGGGGGAGTGGGGTGCCAGTGTGAGAGGGGAGAGCCTCTGATGAGCGGAAATGAATGAACACAACTATATTTGAAGTTGTTTGCATATATAAAAATTGAACAATGAAACCGGTTGAAATGGCTTTGATAGGGAGTGTGACAGGGTGAGGTTGATCAGAATACATTGTATACATGTGTGGAAATGTCACAGTGAATCCCCACTTGTATAACTAATACATGCTAATAAAGTGTCGTATGTAGCAATAAAGAGGTCAAAGTAAAAACTGAAGCACATGCCAGGTGAGTAGGATTAAAGATGGTGAGGAAGAGTGGTTGAGAATTACTAGCGTGAAGGAAAACATCTGTATTCATGGTGTGCTGATTACACAAATCTTTACATTATAAAAGGGCATCCGGTACACACTGGTACCCAGGTAAGCTGCCTGGTTTTGGTACAGTTGTGTAAGATGCAAGCAATAGCGAAACTAGGTGAGGAGTACATAGGACAGCTTGATGCTGGTTTTTTGCAATTTCCCATGCATCTATAATTATTTTTTTAAACCCATATCCTTATCTTCGGCAAGCCCCAAATCAACTCACAACCTGTGCCCTTTAAGACTGGCTTAAAGGATAGATGATCCGTGGAAAACAAACTGCTTTCAGTGTAGGGCCAGAAGAGCAGAGGGCTCTAGATAGGGCTGGGCACAAGGGTAATGGTACGAGCAGGAGCTGAGCAGGACCACCAAAAGCAGCACTTGGCTGCCATCACCAAGGAAGCTGAAACTAGATACTTCTGTCTGCAGTGATTCCCAAACAACTACTTCCTAGCTGTCCCATCCCCACCTACAGATTCTGACTGGGGAGATCCAGGACAAGCTCTCAGATGATGTCTGTGTGGGAACCTTCTATTAAGGACCAGCCAATCAAGCAACGCTCTAGTAATGTCACATGGGTTCACTGTCATGGAGACTATAATCTGAGTTCCTGATTATTATATGGCTGTTATGGCTCAGAGAACCATGGACTGAACTCAAACATCCAGAGGACATATGGTGCTGAATGCCATGTATAAGCAATGAAACATGACATCAAATTGGTTTTTCTATTACATTGTATCTTTTTGGTTATTTATCTAGTTTCTCATGGTTGAAATGTGCTGACAAACAATACAATTCTATTACAGTATTTTAGATTTAAAGACCACCAGAGACATGGTTAAATTAAGAATATTTTGGGGTCTGGGGATGTAGCGCTCAGTGGTAGAATGATTGCCTAGCATATGTAAACCCTGAGTTCAGCCCCAGCATGCAAAGAAACAAACAAAAAACCTGGGTATAATTAGTGTCCAATGCTTGTGATCCCAGCACCTAAGAGACTGAGGCAGGAGGCTTTCAAGTTTGAGGCCTGTCTGGCTATGTTGTGAGACCTTGATTAAAAATAATAATAATGTTCAACAAGCAGTGTACTCATTACCTTCCATATGAAACTGTAACTGCTCTGTACATCACCTTGACAATAAAATAAAAATTTAAAAATACCATAACAGTGATGATGGTGACACTAGTTTGGGCAACAAAATAACAGAATAACCATCAGTAACATAACACAAGGGGCTATGTCTCACGTAATAAGAAGTCCAGAAGTAAGGAAAAGGTGACGTATTAGTCCCATATCTTAAAAGGTTGGGACTGATTTCCTAGTTGTTCTGATCTTTCCTCTATTGCCAAAAGGTGACAGCTGCAGTTCTGATATACCTTACATTCTGCCCAGAATGAAGGGAAGGGGTCAGGATCTTGGGTATTCCACTCTTGTCTCATGGCCATTTCCTGATGCAAAGGACCCTGGGATACTGAGTATTTTGCTTTTGCAAGTCTCTACAAATAGAAGCAAGGAAAGGAAAAGGGGGAGGGGCTGGATGTCAAATGAATCAACCTACAGCGTCTGCCACAGCTTTTAAATTAGAGGTTATCAAGCATGGTTTAATTCGATGTATAAACAATTGATCAGATGCAAAGTAATAAACCATTGTAGAAAATATTCACATAAAAAAATCAAACATTTCCGCTGTCAGTTATTCTACATGTAGATATTGGTCTTTCGTTCTCTGTTGGAACTACTTCTAGTTTTTTAAGAACTTCTGTTCCTTCAACCAATTGCCTAAATAGGAGGGAAAAAAAAAAAACTTGTGGTCAGTCATAAATTCTTACATTTAGCTTATTTCCCAAATAGATTTGGAGCCAGCTGTAGCCAGCTGTTTATAAATTAACATTAGTTGTAAGTATCTGAAATGGCTCCACATCCACCCACTTTGTCACATCTACACCCAGCACCAACATCCAGGCTGCAGTTCCCTCCTGCCTGGAGGCTGCCAGCTGCAGTAGCTCCTAGCTGGCTTTCCACATTTGCTCCAGCACCGGTCCTTCCTCTTGGCATCCATTCTCTTCATTGCAGTCCTAGGGATCTTTTACAAATATAAGTCTGCTGTTACCTTCCTGCTGTTAACACTCCTATCATTTTATAATAGAAACCCAAATCCCTTCCATTGGTGGCCCTCTTGTTCTCTGCTCCAGGCGGACTTTGATGCCTCAAGAGTTCTGTGCTTCCTGCCACAGCTACCCCTTGCCTGGCTATCTCCTGGCTTTCCTTCAACTCTCATCTCAGCCCCACTCCTTGAAGACATTCCCCAAGTCTCCCTGCAAAGGTCAAGTTTCCCAGTGCCTTTAGAGCAATTCCAAAGGGTGATACCTTACACTTATGATACCTTACACTTATTTGGATGTTCGTTGGCTGTGTGTATGTGTGTGTGTGTGTGTGTGTGTGTGTGTGTGTGTGTGTGTGTATACACTTGTACCTGGGGAAGGGGGAATCCTGGGCTTGAACTCGGGACCTGGGCACTGTCCCTTAGCTCTTTTGCTCAAGGCTAATACTCTACCACTTAAGCCACAATTCCATTTCCAGTTTTTTGGTGGTTAATTGCAGATAAGAGTCTCACAGACTTTCTTGCCCTGGCTTGCATTGAACTGCAATCTTCAGATCTCAGCCTCCTGAGTAGCTAGAATTTACAGGCATAAGCCACTGGCATCCAGCCCTTTGGCTAATTTTTAATTTTCCCATGAGACGGGATCCTACTTTTGCTCAGAGTTGAGCATCTATTACAATGTTTGGCACATACCGGTGTTTAACCAACATCCATGGAGTCCATGAATAAAATCTCAAAACTATGCCAGTTTGGACCCCTGCCAGACACTTGCTGATCATAAGCAATAACTCCCTGAGAGTGGTGTAGACTTTTGATGGTTCTTTCAATTCCAAGATAGAAACATGAGGTACAGAGATAGGTCTAGACATAAGACTCAGTCAATGCCTGCATTTTAGCAATGGCTGGAATTTCTATCTTGTGTCTTTTCAGGACATGGTCAGTGCCCACCCTGACCATGTTCTATCCCTTTGTCTGTGTGCCTCTGGCAGTCAGAAAATATGACACAGTATGCTGCAGTTTGAAGTGCATTTCAACATTTAATTTAATTAGGAAGTGATTAGGTCACAACAATTGATTGGGACATTTTCACAGGAGTGGGTTAGTTATATTGGAAGTAGACTTCTGAGAGAGAGAGAGACAGACAGACAGATAGACAGACAGACAGACAGACAGACAGCTCTAGCCCCCCTGTCCTCTTGCTTGTCTTGCTCTTTCTCCTGTCTTCTACTATGTGCTCCCTGAGCATAGAATGCCCTGACGGGGCACCAAGGCCCACACCAGCTGCTGACACCCTACTCTTGGATCCCTGGCCTATAAACCTTCACTGTTTATAAATAAGTCAGTCTGTGGTGCTCCTATAGTAACAGAAAATGGACAAAGACAAAGGACAACATGGTACATTCTGAAGCTCAAGAGTAGAAGATGAATGGGCCCATTTCACCTCTGTCCAAAGAGGGAGAAGCCTAGTCTCCCAAGGTTTCACAGATATTGAATGAACACTCAAAATGTGATCATCTTCACTGTGATGTATCAGGGACAAGATAAGTAAGACTAGGTCTTGCCTTAACGTGTTCACAATGTGCCGGAGAGACAAAAAAGCCATGTGTTTTTGTTTTGCTTTGTGCCATTCCTAGGGCTTGAACTCAGAGCTTTGCACTCTAGTGTTCTACCACTAGAGCCACAACTCCTCTTCTGACTTTTTGCTGGTAAATTGTGAGCCATTGGTGCTTGGGTCAACCTCACCTGCCCTTTCATATCTCTTATTTTCCCCTCCTCATCTTCTTAAGATCATTTCAACAGGTTTAACTGTTCTAATTTCATACATGCATATACAGTACTTGGACCATATTTTCCTCTCCACTCAACTTCTTCCACCACCTACCTCCATTTTCATTCCTATTCAGTTTGTCCTTCACTTCTGCTAGAGTTGTTTTCAAAAGAAGTTGGCCATGTTGCTCATAATTTACAATTCTTCCGTGGCTTATCACCTTTCGGGGAGGCTGACCCCCAGTCACACAGCACTCTTGGCTCACTGGGCCCTGGGGCCTTAGCACTTTCTTCCAGCTTCTACTCCCTCCTGTCTCTCTTTGGCACTAAACCAAATGATTTGCATACAAGATTCTCTCCTGTTCCTTAGGACCTCTTTGCAGGATCGCCTCAATTCTTCACAAAACTGATTTGACTAATTGTGATTTCTATCCTCTCTAACTTTTATTTTACTTTCTCTATTCAGCTCTCTACTTTTTATTACTTTCTCATGATGCTTTCCATGACCTCTTCCAATCTTGAGATCCTCTGAAGATAAAATGAACTATCCCTGCCACTATCCCCAACATACACCCCTTACCCCTCTACTGCGTGTCTGCACGAATGGAAGTCTTACAAGTTTATATTTTGGTATCATTTCCTAATGAGGCCACTGGACATGCTCTGTGGATTGCTGTGGTCTCTCTTGACAGTCAAGACAGTCATGGACTAGAAGCTAGGGGTTGTCTCAGATGAACAGAGAATTTCTGTATCTCTGGCCCTTGCTAATCCCCTGTCCCAGCCTTCCCTAGCTGAAAAACCCCTGAGGATGCTAAAGGATGCTGGGAAGACACAGCCTGCCACTGGAAAGGAAAGTGTCCCTAAGAGTTAAGTTTCGTGCAGTTTAACTGGATTATTTAGTTGCTTCTTTTGATTTTACACCAGCTCCCATTGGGTTCTATAAGGTTTCACGTAAGTATTTCAGCCCAGTCAAAACTGATCTGGAGATTTCAGGGCTAAATGAGACCATAGCTGGGTGAGAACAACAAAGAGGATTCAGTGCCTCCCTGAGGCCAGAAGAGTAATAACAACAAAAATTCCTAATCTCTGGAGAGACCAGGGCCCACTGAAAATAAGACCAAGCACTCTTCCAATTCCATGATTATCCTGTAAGGACTCATATTTGCTTGGTTTCATATTTTCTAGTCAGGTAATGAGTACATTTCCTTGTGGACAATGACATCTCCTCCCTTGCAGTCTCCCAGTTTTTCCTTCCCATTTCCATTCACAAACTGAACAGTTCATTTCAACGTAGTGTCTAGTGAGGACATAGTGTCTACTGCATTTGTTCACCCTTAATCCCTCCAGCGTGTGCTTTTCTTAAAGGAATTAGAGAATGTTGTGTTAACTCTACCTCAAACATTACCAATACACCCTTTGCAGAACTTGTTTAGCCCAGTCTGTTGCTGGGCTTTTTGTGTTTTGTTTTGTCCTGTTTTTGAGCTGTTTTTCCCGATGCACTCTGAGCAGAATTTTGTTTCCTTACGCTCCCCATACTGAGCACAAAAACTAGCCAGTCCAAATGCCTAAGCGAGTTCTAGTTAAATGAATCTGTAAGACAGCAGAAGTGATAGCTAACTAAAGCAAGGGTGTGGAGCCAGAGTGGGAGAGATGTGCAAGGCCACATTCTACTGTAGCCTGTCTATGTCGGCAGGAGGGACGGGGATGGAGACATTAATGTTTTAAGGTAGTCATGGTTGCATTGGTCTGCAAGGGTGACCTTAATAAGATGCAAAGGATCACCAAACATTCGGTGGTAGGAGTCAAGATTGTCATTCAGATGATAGAAGCCAGATTGAAATGATTCAAGAAAAAGAGTTATTTGGTTGCAAATTAATTCAAGAATATGTTTCTGAAATCAGAATGTGGTTTATTTAGTATAAAGGAATTGAAGACAAGCTATTATTTAGGGCCTGAAACTATAAATATTAAGTCTTCTCTAAAGGAATGAAAATATGTCTTGTGCATTGTACTTACAAACTGACATATTAAGCTGAAATCCCTTTGTAGAGCTACTTAAAGATAAAAATAAGATACATATACATGTACATAAATATATATTCAATCTAGAGCCATTACACTAAAGGAAATTATTGTGGGTAAAATTAACAGTGGCATGAAACTCCTTCTTGAGTTGAAAAAGCAATAATTACCGCTATGGAGTGGCTGAAATGGTCTAATATATATTTAGAAAAAGATCTAATATTTTACACCTTATCAGGGAAAACATATTCATATTCGCTTCAGTAATTAAACAGAGGAATAAAACACCAAAGTGCTGGAAAGTATATCTACCTGCACATTATCATCTCACTAATATCCTTTCTGTGTATGTGTGTGTGTGTGTGCACGTGCGCACGCACGTGCGTGCACGCAAGTAGGTGCATGTGCACTGTTAATGTGGATAGAACTCAGGGCCTGAGCACTGTCTCTTAGTTTTTTCAATCAAGACTGGTGCTCTACCACTTGAGTCACACCTCCACTTCTGTCTGAGATCCTCAAATCTCAGTCTTCTGACTAGCTGTGATTATAGTAATGAACCACTAGCACTTAGCTTGGGAATATAATAATTATAATTATACAAGATGTTCCCATACTTAAGGTTGTTTAGTAGGAAAGTTACATGTAATGGAGAGCTTTCAACAATCTCCTTATAATGTTCCCAGACAATCAGTAAATGGCTTTCTGTCTTCACTGCTACCTATAATTATATCTATATCACTATATACTATATTAGGACTAACAGTGATTTAGAATTAATAATAACCATAAGGCTAAAGATGAAAGGTAGAGTTAGAAACCTAGATTGCTAAATAAATGGATAGATGGATTCACAGATAAAACATCACCATGGCTGTGGTGATTTTTGGTTTGGGTTTTGTTTTTTGGTGGGTCCAGTTGTGGGCCTGAACTCTGGGCCTGGGCGCCGTCCCTCAGCTCTTCACCTCAAGGCTAGCACTCTACCACTTGAGCCACAGCGCCACTTCTGGCTTTTTTTTTCTGCTTATGTGGTGCTAAGGAATTGAACCCAGGACTTCATGCATGCAAGGCAAGAGCTCTACCACTGAGCCACCTTCCCAGCCCAGTTATTTTTGGTTTTGCTGATGCTGGGACTTGAACTCTGGGCCTGAGTGCTGACTCTGAGCTTTTATCTTTTCCCTCAAGTCTAGCACTCTACCACTTGAGCCACAGCACCACTTCCAGCTTCTCTGAGTAGTTTATTGGAGATAAGAGTCTCCTACCCAGGGTGGCTTTGAACCACGATCCTCAGATCTCAGCCTCCTGAGTAGTTAGGATTACAGGCAAGAACTACTAGTGCCTGGCCCATGGCTGTGCTTTATGGATAGAAGAATTCTTATAATTATTTTTTAAATGTGTTTTTCTATAATTGTAGTAGTTTTGATTGAAAACCCTATCTTTAGCTACTTACAGAATATGTACAATACTCATCCAAATCCATATAAGCAATATTGTCACACAGGTAATGGACAAACCTAGAATGTACGTACCCAAACGCCACATATTTCCTATCCAGATAGGGAGCTGATTGAAGTGTGATATAGAATTGTGATGCATTGGTATGGTGGCCTCTGTTGACCATTCCAAGCACTCCTCGTTTATTATGAGGAATTGAAAAGTTTTCATCTAGAAAAGACAATAATTAGTCATTAAATTATCTATAAGCTATCAATTGATTGTAAGATGTAACAAAAAGCTGTTAACAGGCTCATTTTATATATACTCTATTTGGTTTTCTCCTTCCTTCCTTCCTTTCTTTTCCCTTCCCCTACTAATTTGCATTTAGTAATGAAAAGTATATAGTTTGAATACAGGTAAAGGTCAATAAGCTGTTGTGCAATTTTGGCAGTGATATTTCTTTCAAACTATCAACATGATCTGAGAAGAAACATTTGCTCTGAAGAGTCTTTCTCTCGGGCCTGATACTTCTCCCGCAACACTCTCCACATGCTCTGAAGAGAAGGTCTGGAGATAACAGGAAAGTCTGTGTGTGTATGTGTGTTGTATGTGTGTGGTGTGTGTGTGTGTGTGTGTGTATGTGTGTATATGTGAGCTTTCTCACCACTGTGACAGAACTCCTGAAATAACTTAAAAGGAGGAGGCAATATTCATTTGGTTCACATTCCCACCATGGTGGGAGAACCATAGCAGAGCAGACTAGTGGCCATGAAATAGGCATTGAATTCTGCACTTGCAGGTTTTCTCATTCTTAATCCCATATCAGGATTCTGCTTATTGCCTGCAATAAGTCAAGTCTTATCCCTAGTCAATCCTCTTTCAAGAAGGCTTTCAGACATATACCCAGAATTGCTTTACTCATCTCCTAGGTTCATCTCAATCTAATGAAGTTACACATAGAGATGAACCATCACCAAGGGAAACAGAACTTGAGCTTTTTTGAGACCTAGCCTTGTTCTCTTTCTGTCCCTCATCCTTCTCTCTGGAAGCTCAATCTGCTGCTTCACTGGATTGCTCACTGATTGCTTTCTAATTTGGTGGTACAAGCTTCACTGAACACAGCACTAGGCTTCAACCACAGTTCAAACCCAACATGGGAGTCAGGGATCTTCAACAGCGGCACAAGGCTTGTTTCAAAGGCTACATGAGGAGACGGCCAAAGAAATCAGCCTCCTAGGACAGAAGGCCATATTCTTGCTGAGGCTGACCCTCCAAGCATGAAAGCTCTAGTACTTGAGCCACACCCCAGTCCTGTAGCATCTTCTTTTATAATCTACCCACTCTGTGCCACTAAATCCAAAATGCCAGGACACTGTTCTTTTGTGATTTTTCTCAAGCATTCAAGGCTACTTCTTCATAATAGGATCTGGCTAGGCACCTGCTTCTATCTGTTTAAACATCTATTAGCATGCATACACTGAACTCTTTCAAGGTAGGAATTCCAGTCGCATGGTCTTTGATTCGTTGGGCCCAAGCACTGTGCCTAGGTACCTACCTAGCTCACTGTTCAGTGAGTGAATAAAGGGTATCATTTGCATGTTTTCATTCGATAAATCCTTTTCTTTGCACAAATTTAGAAGAAAACTAACGATTCCTTCACCTTTTGGCCACTGGTTTATTAAGATTTTTTTAAATCTTTTAATTTTTTTAACTTTTAGAAATACACAAAATGGCATAGAAAATCAATATTTATTTACAGAATTCTATTAGGAAAACACCCTTTTAACTACTACCCTGGCCGAGAAAACAGAACATTGTCAAGTTCCTGTTGTCTTACCCAAATAATCACTCAACAGATTTTCCTGTGTATCATAATGTTTCCTTATATTGGAGCCTTGTCTTTCCTATTATAAAAGAGTGTCAGGAAAAAAAAAAAAGACAGGCTGGCCGGTGGCTCATGCTTGTAATCCTAGCTACTCAGAAGGCTGAGATCTGAGGATCGCAGTTCAAAGCCAGCCTGGGCAGACTCATTTTTATTGGAGACTCATCTCCAATAAGGCGCTAGAAAACCAGAAGTGGTGCTTTGGCTCAAGTGGTAGCGCACTAGCCTTGAGCTGAAGAGCTGAGGGACAGCGTCCAGGCCTAGAGTTCAAGGCCCACGACCAACAACAACAACAAAAGACTGTTAGGCTGCAGATGTAACTCAGTGGCAGAGTGCTTGCCAAGCATTTGAAAAGCCCTGGGTTGATTCCTAGCCCCCAAAACAATCAAAATGGATTTTTCATGCCTTTAAAGTCTAACCTGCAGCATCTGCCATTGTCCCTGACATTTTTATAGGTTAGACCTGAAATGTCCCCTAAAGACCCATGTGTTGAAGGCTTGATCTCAAGACTGTGGTACCCCTGGGCGGTGATGGGGTTCTTAAGAAATAGGACCTAGTTGTTGGAAGTTAGGCCACTGGCATGTCCTTGAAAGGGATATTGGCTGGGAGAGAGCAAAGGAAGGGGTGACACTGTCCAAAAAGAAATGGACTCATTACCTGACTTAAGTAACTGTAACCCCTCTGTACATTGCCTTTTTAATAACAATAAGAAAATTATATTAAAAAAAGAAGAAGAAAGGGATATGGGGGCCTGCCGCTCCTCTCAGTGTCTCTGTCTCTCTTTAATGCCCATAGCATACATAACATGATACTTTCTATTAAACTATGTTTGTTTTAATATGCTAACTGAAGGAAGTGAGGGTCAGAGAGACAAGGGTGCATATACTTCATACACAGAAGGTAAATCTAAATGATAAACTGTAGGAAAACTTACAGGATAGTCATATGCAAGTTGACTAAAATATGGTAGACACAAGGGAGGATTCTAATGGTAAAACTTCTTTTGAATAACTAACTTATGGTTTAATTTAAATGAATACCAGGAAGTTTCAGGTCTAAACTCTAGCAAGGCATGACATTGACCAAAATGCATTGTACTCATAAACTGATATGTTGAATTGAAACCCTTTTGTACAACCACTTAAAGGAAATAAAAATTAAAAATTATTTTTTGAAAAACCTGTGTGGGTTTTATTGCATGATGCAGCACAATGAGAATATTCCTTTGCCAGCCATATGCCCCTTTCAACAGAAGGTGCAGAATGCTGCCATCTCCATCTTTGGAAAGTGAGGAGATATAGAAATGGTGAGATCCTACTTCCTTGTGGGCAGCAAAATAGGTGCTATTCTAATCCCATGATTTCCTTTTCCCTTATTAATCAGAATACTGTTGTAAAGAAATGTTTTCCCTTTGCTACAGTTTGGAGTAATTTACATGGGAAAGACAAGCTAAAATGCTTCTTTCCCAATTTTGCCAGGCTTTGAAATAATGCATTCTTTTCCTATTGTTCACTCAAAGGAACCAGTTATGCTTTATTTTATAATATCATTAGGAACTCAAGGATTTGAGATATTTGTCAGGTTCCAATCAATTGTAATTACACACTTTTGAAAGCTCAAATGACTCCAAATTTGGCTAGTGGGAACATTTTCCTGTTAGGGCCTGTGTCATGACCCTCATAATCTTTCATACCACTTTTGTTATCTGATAGAACACATTGAATGTCTTATAAAGAAAGGATCCTAAAAATCCTAATGTCAAGCACTAGTATCTTACTCCTGTAATCCCAGCTGCATAGGATCCTGAGATCTGAGGTTTGCAGTTCAAACCTAGGCTGGGCAGGAAGGTCCATGAGACTTATCTCCAATTAACCACCAAAAAGCTGGAAGTAGAGTTGTGGCTCTAGTAGTTGAGCACTAGCCTTGAGGAAAAAAGTTCAAGGACAGCACCTAGGCCCTGAGATCTAGCCCTAGAACAGAAAGAGAGAGAGACAGACAGACAGAGAGAGAGGCATACAGAGAGACAGAGACAGAGAGACAGAGACAGAGAAAGACAGAGAGACAGAGACAGAGAGAGGGAGAGACAGACAGAGACAGAGAGACAGAGACAGACAGAGACAGAGAGATGAAAGGAAGGAAGGAAGAAAGAAAGAAAGAAAGAAAGAAAAAGAAAGAAAGAAAGAAAAAGAAAGAAAGTGGGGGAGGGAGGGAGGGAAGGAAGGAATGAAGGAATGAAGGAAGGAAGGAACGAAGGAAGATAATTAGGCAAGGGCGGGGGCGGGGAATGTATAAAGCTGTTGACCAGAATGGCTTTTCTCATCATTTTTAATTCCCTCTTTTTCTATGTATTACCACTTTCACTTTATTTGGAATTGTGAACCATCTCAAGTTTGAATCCATTAATAAATGGCTGACAAACTTTAAAGATACATACCTTCAAATGTTGGTCCATAAATAGACTCTCCATCATCTCCTCTTCCAGCTACTATATCTGAGAGGAGTAACAATACGTAGATTTCTGAGGCCCAAAATGGTTAGTAATGACAGGGGAAAGACACTTTCAATCATGATCCTTTTATACCAATGTCACAAATTTCTGTACCATGAAAATATTACTATTGTAAATTCACTTGTATTTTGTAATCATTTGCATTTTTAGAATTCTATTTTGTTTTCCTTCTAACTCTTCTTGAGTAGCTTTAATATGGGTAGCTTTTATTTTGGTAAAAATCTTGGAAATAATGAAATATTAAACTATCATTATGGCTATGAATTTTTTAATGTTCACATAATTTGTCTTTTCCACAACTTTTCCCATAGTCTATCTTGCTTTTCAGAGAAAATGGAAAGAAGAAAGAGAAAGAGCCAGATGTCAATGGCTCATCCCTACAATCCTAGCTACTCAGGAGGCTGCGATCTGAAGCTCATGGTTCAAAGTTAGCTGGGGCAAGAAAGTGTGTGAAACACCTCCAACCATGGGGCTGGGAAGGTGGCTCAGTGGTAGAGCGCTTGCCTTGCATGCTCGAGGCCCTGGGTTCGATTCCTCAGCACCACATAAGCAAAAAGAATAAAAGCCAGAAGTGGCGCTGTGGCTCAAGTGGTAGAGCACTAGCCTTGAGCGAAGAGCTGAGGGACAGCGCCCAGGCCCAGAGTTCAGCTCCACGACTGGACCAAAAAAAAAAAAAAAAAAAAAACACCTCCAACCACAAAAGCTAGAAGTGAAGCTGTGGCTCAAGGGACAGAGTTCTAGCCTTGAGCAAAACAAAGCTCAGGGATACATCTAGGTCCTGAGTTCAAGCCCCAGGACTGGTATGCACTCAAGCACACATGTGAGCAGGCACACACACACACACACACACACACACACACACAGAGTTCTTTTTGGAATAAAAAGTTCTGCAAAAAGAACTCATTTGCTGGGCACTGGTGACTCATATCTGTAATCCAAGTGACTCAGGAGGCTGAGATATGAAGATCATGGTTCAAAGCCAGCCGGGGCAGGAAAGTCTGTGAGACTCATCCCCAATTAATCACCAGAAAACTGGAAGTGGCTCTATGGCTCAAAGTGATAGAGTACTAGCCTTGAGCAAAAGAACTCAGGGACAGTGCCCAGGTCCTGATTCCAAGCCCCATGACAGACAAAAAAAAAAAAAAAATCATGTTCAAATTTCATTCCTATAGTTACATTGGGTTTGGGCTGTAGCTAAGTAGTAAAGTACTTGCCTAGTCATGGAATTGACCCCAAACATGGTTAAAAAAAATAAAATTAAATCCATCTACAGTGATACTTTAATTTACACCATCTGTTGGGAATGAGAATCCTTTTGACACAATGAGAGTTTTGTTGTTATTGTTGGTCATGGGGCTTGTGGGCCTGGATGCTATCCCTTAGCTCTTCAGCTCAAGGCAAGCACTCCGTCACTTGAGCCACAGTGCCACTTCTGGTTTTCTGGTAGTTTATTGGAGATAAGAGTTTCATGGACTTTCCAGTCTGGGCTGGCTTTGAACTGTGATCCTCAGATCTCAGCCTCCTGAATAGCTAGGATTACAGGCATGAGCCACGCACGGCACCTGCCACAATGAGACTTTTTTTTAGGTGCTTATATCACATACATATTTTGATTTAGGCATGCTCCTACTATAAAAAGACTCCACATCTAAAGAGGAAGCAGTCCTGTCCCCGATATCCCATCTTCAGTCTCTATTTGGGAAAGGGCATGGAGCATTTAATTTGTACTATTCATAAAGCTTGTTCAGACGTGAATTGGTAAGCCTTAGGTCTGTTCTCTGCATCACCCAGCCCTGCAGATGGACAAAACACTGCAGTGGCAGAGGCTAAGTTGCAATGTGGAGGTAAAGGCTCCACTAGCATCAATTCTGTTGGATTCTAGAATTTGCTTTACTCAGGCAAATCTGCTCAGGTGGATGTTCTGCCCTACTAATTTACCTCCTATCAGTCCGGGCTTCTTTGCCCTGCCCCTCCCCCAACTCCCCTCTTGTCCTCTGCATTGGATTCTCCACTGAGGACTTTATATCCACACCATTGTAATCAGTGTTGTCTGCTATTTTTGCGGTTATAACCAACCATCTTGAACTCAGCCTTGTAGATCTGATATTATCTGTCTACCTCTCCAACCACAGATTGAGATGCTGAAAAGTGATGCAATGCAAATTGAAAGTCACATGGCTTTGATTTAAATCTCAATGTTAGTTTCTTTCCCCACATTCGTTGTCTAGGAAGTCTTTGCTGAGATACACTTTGGGGAAAAAAGAAATCAGTCAGATGAGGGGTTAAAGGAGAAGGATAGCTGGAAAAAATAGCTAGAGCACATCCCAGCCAATACAAAGAACAAAGGCCCACCTATGTTGAATGTACCTGAGAAGCAGCAAGAAGGCCCTTGCATTGAACACAGTGAAAAGAGGGACATGTCAGAAGACCTGCGTGGTGGGCATGTGTGGAGGAGGTTGGACTGTGTAGGACATAACTATCCTACAGGGCAAGCAACAATGCTTGGAAGCAATCTGAGGAACAATACAAAAATCCTAGCTACTCAGGAAGCTGAGATCTGAGGATTTTAGCTTCAAACTAGCCCAGGGTGGGGAAAGTCCATGGGTCTCTTATCTCCAATTAACTACCAGAAAATTGGAAGTGGAACTGTGGTCCAAAGTGGTAGAAGGCTAGCCTTGAGCAAGAATGCTCAGAGACAGAGTCCAAGCACTGAGTTTAAGCCCCAGGACCAACAAAAATAACAAAAAGCACATTTAGATCCTGTGCTGTCAAACTCTTCAGTGCCCTGGGGGAAATTCCCCTCTGCAGGAAGAACATTTCCCCTGGGCCTTTTCAATACTGAGTACTCAATGTGATGTTCCTGTAATCATTCTATGACAAAAAAAATTTTTTTGATTCAGAGAGCTAAGTGCCTTAACCAAAGTGGTGTGACTTAGCCATAATCAGCATCAGTCTCAGATCTTTTAATACTGTTTTGTCATTATCTTTGTTTTCTATTACCTTTAACATGTTGCTTCAATGTCTGGAAATCTGACCAAGACCTGAACACTTTACTGTTTTACAATTTTACCTCAATTAAATAAACAAATAAGCACACACACACACACACAAAACCCCAGCAAATAATATGAACTGTATTTTCCCAAGTCTTATTCTGGGCCTATTTAAACCAAAACCAAAACAGAATGCAGAAGCAGACTGGCTCCCTTTGAGGGTTGTTTTATATTAACAGAAGATTGAAAATAAGCCAGGTGATAGTTTCTTCTACCTGTACTCCTAGCTACTCTGGAGGTAGAGATGAGAACTGCAGTTTAAGACAAGCTGGGGCAGAAAGACAGAGAGACAGAGAGAAAGAGACAGAAAGAAAGAGACACAGAGAGAGACAGAGACAAACGGAGAGACAGAGAGAGAGACAATAGAAAAAGCTGATGTGGTGTGTCACTTTGGGAAGTGTTATTAGGAGGATCACAGTTCGGGTCAGCCAGAAACAGAAGTGAGATCAATGTAGCCTTAAGTCCAAACCTCAGCACCACAAAAGAATAAAAGACAGAGAGGAGTAGGGGGGGGAGATGGAAAGGGATGGGAAGGGGAAACAATGGAAAATTAAAATGATTTAGCAATATGAAAAACTAAGAAGACTTAAAATTTCTCGTAGGTTTTCATGTTGTTTATGTTCATTGACATGGAAAGATAAGCAGCACATATTTAAAAAAACAGTGAGGTTAGATAATAGTGTTTATAATATGACCTCATTTTGGAGATAAAGTTGCTTTATATGTACAATGCTTAGAGTCTGCATCCCCTTCATTAGAATGTTCCAGATCATACTAAAAAAGGAAAACAACAATTTGGATATTTCAATTTGATGTTGTAATTAAATTATATTTAAGATATGCAACTCACCTCCTCCTTGTATCCAGCCATTTGATACAATTCGATGAAAAATTGAATCTTTGTAATGCAGCCTCACGCCCCTTTCAGAAAACCCTGCTTGTCCTGTGCATAAGATCTGAAAGTTTTTACATGTTTTGGGACATATATCACAGTAGAGCTACAAAAAAAGATGACAATGTCCAAAATTAAATAGTAACATGTCAATGGTTATTGATGTCTCCAACTTACTAAGAAAACCTTACAAAATCCTCTTACCTCAAAAACCAGTCTTCCAGTTGGTGAAGTCCCAATACAAATATCCAAGAATACAAAATCATGCTATTCAAATTAGGGAGGAAACACAAAACAAAACAGTGCAGGTCAGTATCTTGTAAGAAAGTTAAATGATCAAAAATAAAACAATTTTTTCAGCAATAACATTTTGATATTACCAATAATATTTAGCAACAAAATTAATGAGGGGCTTCAAGTTTTGTGTTTTTTTTGCCCAGTCCTGAGGCTTCAACTCTGGGACTAGGCACTGTCTCTTAGCTTTTGTGCTTAAGGCTAGTGTTTTACCATTTGAGCCACAGCTCAAATGGTTAATGGAAATAAGAGCCTTATTAACTTTCCTGCCCAGGCTGGCTTTGAATTATGGTCCTCACATCTCAGTCCCCTGAGTAGTTAGGATTACAGGCAGGAGCCACCAGCATCCAGCTTATTTTTTAACTCTTTACAGCTTATATTTTTTAATTTTGTATTTCACTATACATTTGGGGTAGAGGGACTGACCCAGGTCTTTGAGCTTGCTGAGGAGCAGTCTACCACTTGGCCACACCTCAGCACTAACACTGTTTTCTTTAAACATTTCATTGTGAATGAAGTTTTGAGTAATGTTAATATATTCCGGATTGCAGGTGTACAGCCTGGATGCCCACTACCTTGCCAACTCCATGTGGAAAGGAACACTGGGCAGTCTCTATGGGAAAGAAACAGACTGGGTCTTCTTCTCTATTTCTTTTTCCTTTTCTTAGTAGTTTTGGGGAAAACATCCACTGTGAGTAGTATGCATTTAGTCACTTTGTGGCCTGGATTTTCGAGACAACACAGATTTGCTAGCCAGAAACGGGGCATGCCCTTTCCAAGTGGGAAAATAAGGCCACTTTCTACAGGAGTTGCAGGGCCAAGGACAGGGAAGAGAAGGAAGTCATGCTCTCCACGTGCACAGCTGCCCCCGCTCCAGTTGTCATCTGTAACCTTTCTGATAGGTGGTCATGTGAGACCTTGCTTAGGTCTAGGAAGAGGCATCCAAAATGAAAACCCCAGTTTAACACAGCTCAGATCCTCATTCTATGCACACTGGCCACTGTGGGCATGAGCTAACTACCAGCAGGTCTAACAGCTGTTCCTGCAATAAGGTTTCTTAGAAAAGTTACCAATTACTTTGAAAGTATAAAGTACTTTTTACCTCTACTGCCATCCTACCTTGGTGTTTGATTCTCTCTGCCTTTTTACTGTCCCCTCCCACAGAGATTGCTATAGCCTATCAAGGTCTGTGCTTGAAAATGTCACTTTAGTGGGGAGTGGTACTTCACACCTGTAATCTCAGTATGAAGAAGGCTCAGGCAGGAAGATCTTAAAAACTAGCTTGGGTGACAAAATAAGAGCCTGTTTAAAAAATAAATCATATACACATACTGACCTTGTCCATCTTTCCATCTTTGAGTATAGTATCTGTCACTAAGGTGTTAGAAAGTGAAGTATTTTTGTACTTAAGTAAGTCAGTCTAATAAGGAGGTGTGTGTGTGTGTGTGTGTGTGTGTGTGTGTGTGTGTGTGTGTGTGTGCATGTTTTTAGGTGAAGTCTTACTATTTTGTCCAGCCAGGCCTTGTAATCATGGGTTCATGAAATCTTACTGCTTCAGCCTCCTGAGTAGCTGGGTTACAGATTTATACCAAGGAGGTCTTTATATTTCAAAATGAGTAATTTGTGCATATAAATCTCTAAAGGGGAATAGAAATGTTTGAACAGGGAAGTTTTCCCAGTGCAATCTGCCTGCTATAAGGCATACTTATTTTGTTTTTGCTTTTTGATATATACTTGGTTTACATACTTCCTGGCCAAATCTTGATGTAAGATAATCTTTGCAACTACACTTTAATTAAGATCACTGAGACCAATCTCCTACCACACACACACAAACACACACACACACACACACACACAAGGATATTAACATTTTAATATATTAACATTATATATAGGTTGAGGATATTAACAATTAGTACTAATTCATTATAAATAATCAAAAATTCATTATATTTTTTTCTTTAAAATTTATTGCAACTTGCCTTAGTGTCTTTTACGAATTTAATAGCATAATTCAAAGTTAGAGCCTCATACAATTCAGAAGGTCTAATGTCAACTACATCCCACATCTTTTGGGCCCATTTCTGCAAATCAAATGCATTACCCAGGAGTCGATCATTAATAAAACACATCACAAGGGAAGAATATTCCCAGGTTTCACCCTTGAGTTCCTATAGGAAAAGGAAAAACAAAATGACATTTTGAATGGAGAAACCTAAAACAACAACAAACAACTTGATAAAACACATAAACCAGAGCTTGGAATCATCTTTAGGCTAATTCAATTTGTCATCTCTAGGATAGAGTCCTTTTAAAATATGCTTTTACACCAGGTGCAGGTGGCTCATGTCTTTAATTCTAGCTACTCAGGAGGCTGAGATCTGGGGATAGCAGTTTAGAGCCCTGAGACTTTTCTCTCCAGTTAACCACCAGAAAAACTGGAAGTGGAACTGTGGCTCAAAGTGATAGAGTACCAGCCTTGAGTAAAAGAGCTCAGTGACAGTACCCAGGCCCTGAATTTAAGCCACAAGACTGACCCCCCCCCCCAAAAAAAGTTTTTACCATCACTCAAAATTCTGCTGTTAGAGAGAATTTTTTTTTTGTCGGTCATGGGGCTTGAACTCTGGGCTTGGGTGCTGTCCCTGCGCTCTTCAGCTCAAGGCGAGAACTCTACTGCTTGAGCCACAGCTCTACTTCCAGTCTTCTAGTGGTTTATTGGACATAAGAGGCTCACAGACTTTCCTGCTGAGATCCTCAGATCTCAGCCTCCTGAGTAGTAGGATTACAGGTGTGAGCCACCGGCACCCAGCTGAGAAATTTTTTTAAACAAGAGTTTTTGAGAATCTAACATCGCTGGAAAGTACCAAAGGATTTAAAGGCAATCTTAATTATAATCATCCAGACACTGGTAGCTCACTCTTATAAATCTAGCTACTTAGGAGACTGAGATCTAAGGATCATGGTTCAAATCCAGCCCAGTCAGGAAAGTCCACGAGACTCTTATCTTCAATTAACACCAGAAAACTGTGATGCTATGGATCAAAGCAATAGAATGCTAGCCTTGAGCAAAAGAGCTCATGGACAGAGCCCAGACCCAGATATTAAGCCCTATGACCGACCAAAAATAGATTATAATCATACCAATTTTGAGGTGGTCCTCTGCTAGGACAAATCATTATGTGCATAGCCACTTGTTACATTGACTTGCAAACAAAACACAATCTTTGCCTTTATCTAAGAAAAAGTTTACTGTGCATTCTTGAAAAACTTTTTTTTTCCTTAGCAGGAAGAACAGAGCTAGAGGAATACCAATATCAGATTTCAAACTCTATTGAAAGCCATAGTTTGGGGCTGGGAAGGTGGCTCAGTGGTAGAGCACTTGCCTTGCATGCATGAGGCCCTGGGTTCGATTCCTTAGCACCACATAAGCAAAAAGAAAAAAGCCGGAAGTGGCGCTGTGGCTCAAGTGGTAGAGCGCTAGCCTTGAGCTGAAGAGCTGAGGGACAGCGCCCACGCCCAGAGTTTAGGCCCCACGACCTGACCCCCCCAAAAAAACAATGTATATATCTGTATATGTGTATATATATCTGTGTGTATATATGTGTGTGTGCATGTGCGCACGTGTGTGTGTGTGTGTGTGTGTGTGTTTGGGAAAAGCTGGAGAAAAGGGCCTTGGGTATAAGACAATGTTATTTTTGCTATTTTTGGGTACAGAAAGATCACCATAGGAACTGCCTCTTATGGGCCAGCAGGAACTTCAGGAACAGTCAGAAGCATTGAAGAAAAAACCTCACCTTCCCCAACATTTTAATTCCTAAACCCATAAAGAAGTATGGCTGGGTGCCCATGACTCACACCTATAATCCTAACTACTCAGGCAGCTGAGCTCTGAGGATTCCAGTTCAAAGCCAAACTAAGCAGACAAATTCATGAGATTCTTGTATCTAGTTAACCAGCAAAAAGCCAGAAGTGAACACGTGGCTCAAGTGGTAAATTAAAAAAGCCAAACCAGAGTGCAAGGCTCAGAGCTCAAGCACAAAAAGAAAAAGAAAAACAAAGCTGTGTTGGCATTTTCATCCACACAATGTTGCCAATCCAACTACAGGGTAAAGTGTGACCACTGGGGAAAGTCTTCTCTCAAATCTAGCTTATATTATCCAGTGCTAGCAAATCATCAACAACTTGGTACAGCCATTCTCAAACTTGAGTGGGCCATTAGGATCACAGACTACCTGAGCCCATCTGACTGTGGGATGTGGCCTCAGAAATCCTTGGCATTTCTAATAACATCCCAGAAGACACTGGCACTGATGCTGTAGAGATGGCACTTGAGAAATACTAGTTTGGGAAAGTTTGCCATCTTGTGCCATTTTCAGCTCCTCAGATGAGATCTGATATCCTATCATTTGTTTCCTGGGCCTTTCTCAGAGCTTGCTTCCTGTCAGAAAATCAGTTTGATGCTTTGCTATGAATTACTGATAAAGCCTATGTGCCAATACACCCAGGAGTGTTCAGTGGTGGTAGGGAACCTGATTGTGGAATTTCAGTCAGGAAAAATGCAGAAGGTACATTTGGAGGCTAATACTTTCTAGAGCTTTCTATCAATAAGACCTGTGCTGCTGCCTTTTTTTTTTTTTTTTGAGGAGAGCTAGGCCTCTCCCTTAGGGGAGCATTGCACTTTGCTGAAGTGTATGACCAGCTGGATCCAATGAACTCATTCACTGAGACCAAATGTGCTAAGAAGTCGTATGTATAATGAAAGACACAGGCTTACACTGAAGAAGACCAAAACACCTGGCCTGAAAATGAAGAAAGGAATAAGGTAACAAATATCTAGTTGAGGTGGAAGAGAGAGGAAGAAAAAGAATAAAGGATAGGTGGCAAGAATCAGCAGTTGTGAACTAGAAAGTCTCATTTAGGAACCATGTGAAAGGCAAGAGGAAGTGAGAGCAAAAATCTCTCCAGCTAGCCTAGGTTGGAAGGGGTGGAGAGTAGGGGAATGGAATCTATGTCAGCCTGTAAGAGGACAGTGGGAATTTGCAAGGGGAATGGATGCGTGCATAAATCATATGATCATGGCTGTCTTGTAGGCAGAGAAGGTGTGGCTGGTAGGTAGTCATCATACATTTGATGATATATCAGCATAAATCTGATGATAAAAATTAAGAAAAATTCTGTTTTCATTTCTTAAAATAGATTCTTTCAAGCTGGCCTTGGAATGTATAATCTTCCTGTTTTCACTGCTAGTGCTGGGATTAAGGGAATGATGTATGTGTTTGTGGTGTGTGAGCCCGAGTGCACGCGCGCATGTGTGCACACGTGCACGCACCAGTACTGGCAGTTTGAATTCAGGGCCTTATGCTTATGCTCATGCTTAGCTTTTAAGCTCAAGGCTAGTGCTCTACCACTTGAAGCACAGCTTAAACTTCCATCTTTTTTTTACTGGTTAACTGGAGATAAGAGTCCCTTACACCTGTCTGCCCAGCTGGTTTTGAGCCTTGATCCTCAGAACTCAGCCTTCTGAATAGCTAGGATTACAAGTGTAAGGCACCAGTGCGTGACATGATACCTTGTTTTATATAAAGGAAATCTGTGCCCAGTTTGCCAGGACTGTCTTAGTTTTAGCATTAACATTTCCACTTCCCAGGATATCTTTCAGGCCTAGATAAACCAGAACCATTGGTCACCACAGTTGTTTCAGGATTAGAATATCTGTGTGAGTATATATATGTACATATATACATATTATATGTGGATGCTATTAGTATAGTGCCTGCCATTCAATAAATACCATATGCAGGTGTTTATTGTGGCTCTTTTGAACCCCAGTAAAAATGTATCATAGCTCTGAAAGTATCAGACTTTAAAAAAAAAGTACTTGATTCAATCTTGCACCATAGATATGACCAAGCAAAGACTAAAGTAGTCTCATAAAACACTATTTATGTGCTGCTTAATCACAGGATCACAGGACATCCTTGTGCAACCCAGCTCTGAACAGTCCACCTTGCTTGGATCAGGAATGTGGAGATTTCATTATCCCTTGAGAAGATGGGGTGAGGCAGAGAAAGCAGGACTAAACTATAGGGAACAAGCAGGAGGTGGATCCCATCTCATCCTCCCCAACAGGAGATGTGGGTAAGCCAGATGCTCCCTTAGCATCCTTCTTTTGGCATGCTCCAGGTAGGAGCGTACTGCCGGTTGAATGAGGGTGGCACTCCAGAGGAAACATATTTTTGACACTGGACAAGCTCTGTGGGACCTGAGGTCTGGAGCTCTCCAAGGGTAGAAGGGAGAACATGGAGAAGAAAGCTTCAATGAGACAAACTATCCCATGAGAGCTTGGTGACGATTAATGGAGCTCCCGTGGGCAAGAGCTCCACAGAAACTGGCTGCTATCTCTGTGGTGGTGTACAACACCCACACTTTCTAAGCAAAGGCCAGGCCACAGCAACCTGAGCATCTTGGTGTCACAAGGAGTGTAAGTAACACATGAGGAAAGAGGGTTAACTAATGCCACTGAGAGGTTAAAACTTACCTTCATCACATACCTTTCAAAGGAAAATCTTGTAAATAAGTTACTGTTTAAAAAAATCAGCCAGCAAAATGATTGAAATAATGTAGGAAAAAGTACATACTTCAGAGCAATAAAATCTAGTTGCCTTAAAATGACCCTTCCATTCCCCCTCCCTCAAAGAAAAAAAATGAGTAAATCATTCCGGTAAAATTCTGCCTGTTGCCAGTATCCTACACATACACATCCTAAATATCCTTTACCCTTTTCTTTTCTTGTAGATATTGAGTCCATGCAAATTCTTGAAGAGGAACCAATATAGGATCTTCAAATCTGGATGGATAATTGTTCCTTAGAGTCTAGATTTTAAAATAGAATATTTAAGTTTAGAACAAATTCTCTTTTAAAGTCACATTCATTTCCCTCCATTTTTTCAGGATCTCGGGGAAGGTTCATGCAGCACACACCCAGGACACACAGTCTGACTGAGAAGCCTCTCTACTGCTCCCAGAGGTGGCTTCAAGTCGTTCCAAGCCCTCTAGGGCTTCTGTTGATTTTTTCTCTCTCGCTTTTAGGTAGCAAGCTCCGGAGGGCAAGGGCTATATTGTATGTAGGCTTCCTGTATCTGTAGACTTCCACATCAGTCCTATTGTAGACCACCCATACGTAATAACTGAGTAAATAAGTTTATGCCAGTCACTTTGCAATCTGCTATGTTCTTTTAGGACTAGCTTTTTCCTAAACTCCTGCTAAATTGCAGTGGAGCTTTACAGATGCTTGACTTGTGATTGCTTTATTTTACTGATGTAAGGAAAATGACCCAAAGGATATTATGGTTATATCTCTTAGAAAAATGAGAAATAAATACCAAATAAGTTTAGTTTTATAGTATAAGTTTAATATTGCGTATGCTTTGGTTACACGTGTGTCTGTCTCAGAGAAAATTCTTGCCAGTTAACAATTCATGCCAAAAGCTATTGGTTTTGTTCTCTTTTAGGAGGCCAATGCCTTATCCATTAGGCTACTGGGGCTCCTAGGTTTTGTTCTCTTTTAAAATTAGCATACCTTGGTTGTGCAAAAGGGTGTTTATTTCCACACATGTATACAATGGATCCCAATAAACCTCACTCCCTCCATTATTCTCCTCTACTGGTTCTCTCTCTCCCTCCTTTCCTCCCTCCCCTCCTCCTTTTCTCTCTCTCAGCTCCACTTTTGTGTTTTGCTTCTGCTGGTTTTTGGAAATAAGTGTCTCATGTGCTTTCCTGCCTTGACAGGCTTTAAACAAGGAACCTCAAATCTTCTGAGCTTTCTGAGTAGCTAGGATTAAAGGGATGAGCCACCAGAACTTGGCTAACTTTTAGACTTTTAAATGGCTGAAAAGAAAATCAAATTAAACTTGATGTCATATGAAAATTATATACAAGCCAAATTTAGTGTCTATAATGAAGTTTATTGGAACACTATCATTCATTTACATGTCTATGGTTGCTTTTGCTTGTTTTGTTTGGTAGGTCCACCCCTCCACCCCCCACTTATGTACCTGCTTTTACAACACAAGGACAACTCTACTGAAATTATGACTTAGATCTTATGGCTCAGGGACCATGTATTTGCTACCTGGACTTTGTAGGGGAAAAAAACTGCCTATCCTTTCCCTACAGGGTGGAATAACCATAGAAAATATGTCTTTATTAAAGGAGCTTGTTGTGTTTTTTTTAAGAGATAAAAGTTCCTCAAACTCATTATATATGTGTGTTGCTAGTCACTCTTGCCTGGTCAACAGTCCATAATTTCTACATCTTTTGATGACACATGTATCACTTTTTCATAGATATCTGACACTTGTTTTCTTTGTCTTGATGTAAACTTAGCCTGCTTTGAAAATCATTTTTCTAACGTGATATAATTAAAATATTTTACTCTGTAGACTCTGGAAGGGGCAAGATGGCAGAGATTTCTTCAGAGGAATTCTTTGTGGGAACAATTTTGTTACCGGTATCAAAGTTGTTGCCAATCCAAAATTACCCAAGTATCCATCTGGAACACAACCACACATAAGACATGGTTGTGAAGATATCATTTCTGGAGCTAATTCCAAAGGCATTTTACATTTCAACATGGTTACATTCACACGTTGCCGCATTTCTCCTATTGTAGGTGCAATGCAGCCGCATGACTAACTAGGCCAAATCCTGCACTCTCTTCAGGTATTTCCTTTGATACCATTCTGCATGTATTGTTTTTGCAAAGAACTATTTGGAATCTCGAAGTCACTTATCCATTCATTAAATCCACGAAGCATCTACTTGTTAGAATGCAGTGACTATTTCAGAACATTTAAAGAGCCTTTCCGTATGAATATTTTCAAAAATCACATTTTGACGGGAGAAGGGGGGTGTTAAAGCAGCTGACTCCACTGGTCGCCAACATTTTTCATGAATTGCAAACATCTACAATTTAAGAAATTACCGTGGACTGGCGAGTAGGGGGTGGGGAGCACCATTTTCCCAAGAAGGTTCGGAACGCTTCCTTTCCTCAGATCTCCCTTTTACAGGTCATCCTTCTCTGAGTCACACAAGCGTCCTGGACCTGCATTTGTGCCCCACACGCTCGGAGGAGGAACCCGGCGGAGCCCGCCGGGCTCGTCCGGTCCTCGGGGCCCCTCCACCCCGCCCCGCCCGCCGCACGCCGGGCCGGCGAGGCTGCGCAGTCCTCGCGCAGACCCGGGCTGGGTGCGCAGTCCTCGCGCCCGAGTCTGGAGGAACGCAGAGCCGCCGCACTTGGGGCTTTTTCCTGGTTACCTCAGCCGCGATCTTCGCAACCTGAAAGCTGGAGCTGTTATACAGTCCCACTATCTTCACCTGCAGCGGCCGTGGGGGCGGCGGCTGCAAGCGGCTAACGACAGGCTTGGGCCGACAGGGCTGCGGGGTGGCCATGGTGGCGCTCCGAGACCGCCCCGCCCGGAGCACAAACACCGCGCGTCGCCGCGGCAACGGCGAGGCCCCGCCCCCATCTCCCGCAGGGGGCGTGGCCGGGGGCGAAGGGCGGGCGGTGTGGGCGGAGTCTCTCTCTAACTTTGCTCTTGTTGCTGTTGAACCGGATTTAGGGGCCCGGGAGGGGCGCGAGAGGGCCACGACGGCCAGGGACCAGCTTCAGGACGGAGAAACTCGAATCCGCCCTCCCGAGTGCCCTCTCGGGAACCCCAGGGGTCTGGAGCGCGCCGGGATTTCGCCCTAGATCTTCTTTCGGGATTGGCAGACCGCAGTATCTGGGCCAGAGAAGCGGGTTGTCAGGGTAACGCCGGAGTCTCCCCGCGGGAACCGCGTGGGCTTGGGGAGCTCGGGAGTCGGGGGCCCGGGCCACCTGTGTGCGCCACCTCGGGACGCGGCGCCGCCCGCCCGCCCCCACTCGCGCCCGGAGGCGGGAGGGCCCATCGGTCGGCGCCCCGTAGCGTCCCCACGATGAAGCCCAACTTCTCGCTGCGACTGAGGATCTTCAACCTCAACTGCTGGTGAGTGCGCCCCGGGAGTGGTGTCCGAGGGACAGCCAGGGGAAGAAAGAAGGCCGCCCTCCCCCCTCGGCCCCACGATCTCGGGGTGCACGCCAAAGCCCACCTCGGCCCCCAGCGCCGGCGGTGCCCATGGTCACCCCTTGCCCCCTTCCTTCTGTTTCTTAGGGGCATTCCCTACTTGAGCAAGCACCGGGCTGGTCGCATGGAGCGCCTGGGAGACTTACTGAACTTGGAGAGCTTTGACCTGGCTCTGCTGGAGGAGGTGGGGGTGGTGCGGTGCTGCTGTGGATCCCAGGCTGGGAGGAAGGCGCGGAGGGGGCGAAGGATGCGGGAGGAGGACCGTGGAAAAGCTCCCCGCGGGGAAAGGCTAGGCTGCATCCCCGCCCTTCCTTCAGGTGTGGAGTGAGCAGGACTTCCAGTACCTGAGACAGAAGTTGTCCCTCACTTACCCAGCTGCACACTACTTCCGGAGGTGAGCCGCCTACAGGCCTGAGCCTGTTCCCGAAGGGCTCTTGGTCCTTCCCTCCCTATCCTGCACACTGCACCCTCCTTCTTCTTCCTCTGGGTTTGAAGCAGGAAGATTCCTCCCTCACTGCTTTGTCCCTCATCCTCCTACAAAAGCTCTTCTGATGTTTGTTCTGGGTTCCAGCAATAGAGAGAAACGTTGCTGATTAAACTAGAGACAAGGGAAAAGAGGACTGGGTATTTTTCTCCTCGATTACCTAGTTTATTGAGCCAGGTTTGGCTTTCAGTGGGATCATTGGCAGCGGCCTGTGCGTCTTCTCCAAACACCCAATCCAGGAAATCACACAGCATGTCTACACCCTCAACGGTTACCCCTACATGGTAAGTCTCCCCCACCCCACTCCACCCCAACTAAAACAAAGCACAGGAGGCAGCCCAGGGACTGGGCAGAAGAGTGGCAGTGCTGAGTGAGGTGCCTTCCTCCTACCTGCAGATCCATCACGGCGACTGGTTCTGTGGGAAGGCCGTGGGGCTGCTGGTGCTCCATATCAATGGACTGGTGCTCAATGCCTATGTGACCCATGTAAGTGAAGCCAGTGGTACTTAAGGGCTGGGACACACAGCTGCTGTCTGGGGGTGAGGTGTGGGGTCAGGATGTCCTAAGGTAGCAGTGGGCAAGTTTTGCCATTCTGTACAAACACCATGCCAGGTGACTGACCCACCCTGATATAGACAGGACCCTGCAGGCTATAATTCCATCTGTCTCACTTAGCTCCATGCAGAGTACAGTCGAGAGAAGGACATCTACCTAGCACATCGTGTGGCTCAAGCTTGGGAACTGGCCCAGTTCATCCAGTGTGTGAGCCTGGGCTTGATGGGAAGTGGGAAGGGACCCAGGGGCTGAGGGGTGGTCAAGGCTCCACTTAGAGGGCACAATTCCTTCCTCACCAACCTGGCTCCCTCAGTCACACCTCCAAGAAGGCAGATGTGGTTCTATTGTGTGGGGACCTCAACATGCATCCAAAAGACCTGGGCTGCTGCCTGCTGAAGGAGTGGACGGGGCTGCATGATGCCTACCTTGAGACTCAGGACTATAAGGTGAGAACATGCCTGCCTGTTTCCAAACACTTCCACTTCTCTCCCTCTTCTTCCTCCCACATCTTGGGATGCCCAGAGCTTTCTAGCCACCTGTTTCTTCTAGGGCTCTGAAGAAGGCTGTACTATGGTGCCCAAGAACTGCTATGTCAGCCAGCAGGACCTAGGCCCATTTCCCTGTGGCATCCGCATTGACTACGTGCTCTACAAGGTCAGGTCTTTCCCCTAACATGTGTTTCTTGGCATCAGCCTGTGCATATCTACTGTTTGGCTCATCCGGTCTTGGGCAACTGATAAATTGAGAGTGTGGGAATCTGGGAGCTGGTTCTTTGGAAGAAGGCCTTCCAATAGGAGCTTTTCTCTGCCTTTTTCCCCTTGCCTAGGTGGTTTCTGGGTTCTGCATCTCCTGTAAGACTCTCCAAACCACTACAGGCCATGACCCGCACAGTAGCACTCCACTTTCTGATCACGAGGCCCTCATGGCTACTCTATATGTGAGGCACAGTCCCCCTCAGCAAAACCCCACCCCTACCCAAGGTGAGTCATCTCTACCCTTTCCCTTTATCCTTCTCTACCTCAAAGCAGCTGCTTCACTGTATGAACCTTTTCTGCATCACTGTTCTGTTTTGTTCCAGGACCAGCAGAGAGGTTGCCATTGATCAACCTGCTGAAGGAGGCCTGGACAGAGTTGGGGATTGGCATAGCTCAAGCTCGCTGGTGGGCCACATTTGCTGGCTATGTGATTGGTGTGGGGCTGCTTGTCCTGACATTGCTGAGTGTCCTGGTGGCAGGAGAAGTGACCAGTGACGTGGCTGTACTACTCTGGACCCCCAGTGTAGGATTGATATTAGGGGCTGGCGCAGTCTACCTCTTCCACATGCAGGAGGCCAAAGGTTTATGTCGGGCCCAGGCTGAACTCCAGCATGTGTTGGGAAGAGCAAAGAAGACCCAGGAATTGGGCTTAGAGCCTCAAGTAGCTGAGCTACTGGGGCAGCAAGCAGAGAACAGAGTTGAACAATAAAGTGTAGCACTTTAGTGGCTTTGCTTTTTTATCCTGTCCAGGCATCGTGGGGAGCACAGGTCAAGTGGTTATCACAATGGAGGACTCTGCACATCTGCTGTCCCTGCACATCCCTACCATCCACCTTTATGCATCCTAAATTCCATGTGTGGTAGGAACCTTTTTTTTTTTTAATGGCATGAGGGTTTGAACTCAGAGCCATGCAATTGCTCACTTGAGCTATGCCTCCAGCTCTTTTTTATTTATTCAGCTCTTTTTTATTTTTCAGATAGGGTCTTGGCATTTTTTTTTCCATTTTTTTCCAGTTTCAGACTGAAGATCCTTCTATCTATTCCAGATAGCTGGAATTACAGCTATATACCAACCACTGTGCATGGCTTGTTTGTTTAGATGGGAGTCTTGGTAACTTTTTTTTTTTAAATCTAGGTTAGACCCAAAGCATAATCTTCCCTAATGGCCAATTCCCAGGTTGCTGGGATTATAAGCATGAGCCACTGTCCCCAACTTGTGACAGAAGCATTTTATTGTCAACAGTAAGGCAGTCCAGATGAGTAGGAAGCGGTGACACTGTCCTATGAAGAGATTGCTTTGCTTGCAGGCAGCCAACAAACAGTCTTCTAGCCCTGGATCGCTGCCCCCGATACCAGCTCACTGAGCCGGCGCTCTTCCTGGAAGCGAATGAGAGCATCCCGCTGGTTTACCACATCCAACAGCTTCCTCAGAACCTGGTCCTCAGCCTGCCGATCATCATCTGTCTTCATAGTTTCTGAAAGGAGAAAATGAAGCTTAGAGAACAAGGTTCTAGGCTGGAAGATCAACATAATCCCAGTCGGTGTTTTTATTAACCCAGGCTTTACTAACTTGCAAAATTAAGATCTGTTGACCCTAGAGGATTTCTAGCATTAGTTGGCAACCACACTATTTTTGAAGGCAATCTTGTAGCAAAGCCTAATAGCACAGGTCTGACTGAATTTGAATGGAGAGTGGGGGTTTCAAAGCCCCACCTTCTGGTTTCCTCCTGAATTTCCTCAGGTACAATAGATCAGAGGACCGTATTGCACAAGGTCAGGAAGCCACTTGCCTACCTTCTCGGTTCATGTAGCATCGCAGCTCCTGGTCCAGGTGCCGTTGCTTCTCCTCCAGGTCCAGCTCCTGCACCCTGTGGAGGTGAGTGAGTGAAGAGGCGCAGCTCTGCAGGGTGCCCACAAGACTGGGGCCCTGCTCATTACCACTGTCACCATCTTGGTATCTTACGTGATCATGAGCTCAGCCTCCTCAGCCACCAGGCTATTTTTCCTCTGCACAAGCTGTAGCAGCTGTTCTACCCAGAATTTCTTTTGCTGCTCTGGGGAGCCTAGTAAGAAGGAAGAGGAGCAGAAGTGGTTATAAGACCTAAAGCTGGGGTCATGGGATCATAGCTTGAGGGACAGGATCCAGAAAAAGGAGGGTGTCAGAGCTGTATGGCCCAACTATTGAGCTTACTCTAGGCCACAGTGTGGTGGAATTTCAAGGGGCTGAACACAGTGTCAGGAGCCCCATTGCTTATCCCTCCCCCATCTCTACTTACTGTCCTGGCTCCTCAAGGCCAGCTCCAGCTTTATGCCCTCAGCTTCCAATTCCCTCAGGGCAGCCTCAATCTCATTTAGTCGCCGCTGAATGGCCTGAAAAGTACAAGACAGAAAGCCCAGAAATCTGAAGGAGCTCTGACCTCAGATTCAGCACTGTGACCCCATTCAAAGGCCTACCCCTGGGCCTCACCTGAGCCTTGCAGAACTTCTTCATCTCTTCCTCCTTAGCACGGCGCAATAGAGTCCGGCGCCATGTTGGGTACTTCTTCATGGTGCCAGAGTTCTTGACCAATGTCAGCAGAGCCTATGGGAGGGTTGGGCCAGTCATGGGTAGGGCCTAGACCTTGGTAGGTAGGAGTGGGGGAAGCTGTTTGAAAGGGCAAAAAAGAACCTGGGCTGGAAGTGTGGGTTTGCTCTGATAAAGAAGATGAAGGCTTAAAGGCTTAGGCAAGAGCAAAGTAATACTTATGGGACTTCCAAGAAGGAGACTCAAAAGAGAATGTGAGCTTTAGTTCTCTAGAAATGGGGATGGAGAGTATCTGTTGGATGCCTGCTGGCTTGATAGGGTAGCTGGCCAGATTCTTGCTACTTACCTGTTCCAAGTTTGTGTCAAAAGGTACATCCTCCTCCTCTTCCTCTTCCTGTTCATCCTCATCATTGGAGGATAGTCTCTCTTCCTCCTCCTCCATGGCTTCAGCATCTGAGCAAACCAGAGGGAGACATGGCTTGGGGGTCCCAAATCTCCCTTTCTATTCCTTCACAGGAAACCCAAGACTGCCATCCCACCACCACACCAAGCCTGCACATCTGTGCAAAGAACAGTTACCTTGTGGTACCTGGACTGACATACCCCAGCCTACAAAACTGCTCTGAAGGGCCTGCTGGGCCAAGGCTAAGCAGCTGCGTGGGGGTTTGGGTGGAGGCTCTGTTTCTGGGTCAGGAGTAATGTTAAGGGAGGCCAGCTGCAGACGCTCTGGGCTGGAGAGGCGAATCCTCCTACGTGTGGGCTGCTTGGGGCTTGAAACAGGAAGGGCTGGCGATGTGCTATCCTCCTCTGGTGTGGAAAGCTTCTGAAGAAGACACCATGTGGTCTGGTTAGGGACCCGCCCTGTGTGGAGTCAAGGCCACCTCTTTAGAGCCCATGTAGGCTCTGGCATCCATTCACTAAACACCATGTAGTGGACACTGTCCGGCAGTGTGCTGGATACAGCATTCACCTACCCCGACTGCTACTTAGCTGGAATTTCCTTTCTGTGCCACACACACACACACACACACACACACACACACGCACACACACACAGAGTTTTTACTGGGCTTTTAGGTCCCCCGTCGATCACACACACACACACACACACACACACACACACACACACACAGAGTTTTTACTGGGCTTTTAGGTCCCCCGTCGATTTCATCGATTTCATCCTCTTTGTGGCCGGGCTGCGGCAGGTGCTGCAGGCAGTAGAAATGTCCTGGGAAGGGGCAGCGGCATACAGGAGGCATCAGGTATAGGTAGCCCAATGCCAAGGCAGAATTTTTACCAGGGATGAGGCCACAGGACAATGGACTTGTAGCTGAACTGTTACCAGATTCTTTGTTCCTTAGGATCCCACATTTCGAGCTTGGAGGGGACAGGAAAGTCTTCAAGCTCAAGAGAAGTGCTATCTCAGGCTCCCACTTGTTCCTCACCCCCAAATGCTTTGCTCCCTCCCCACATCAGAGCCAGGCCCAAAGTCCCACTAGCAATCTCCCCAGCCCACTCACCATCTGGATGCTGCCCATAGCCACCTGGCCACAAGGTGGCCTCACAGACGTGGCAGCGGAAGCAGCTTCGGTGGAAGAAATGGCCATCTGCACAGAAGCGTTCCAGGATGTAGAGGTGTCTCCCACAGAGTGCACACAGGTCTCCAGCACCAGACTGCACAGACCCCCCCAAGACACAGAGTCAGCTGGAGCCTAGGGCAGTCCCAGGGATAATCCCCTGGAACCTTCCTTCCCTGTGCGCCCCAGGCCTCAGCCTACAGAGTGGACCCTGGTTCTTACTTCCTGGTGTTGGGATGGGGGAGTCAGGGGTACGCTGGGCTCAGGCACCTGTGGTTCTTCAGTATTTGGAGACTCTGCCTCTACCTAAGGAGGTAAGTGCTCAGGCAGGGTCAGCCAGGAAGTGAGTGTGCAGATACACAGAAAGGGCTGAAGGGAGAAGGGAGTAAGACATGGCAGGGAAGGCCATAGGACCTGGGGTAGAGGAATAGAAGGAAGGGTAACAGCATGGGGGAGGAGACCATCTGTCTTGTCTGTTCTCACCTGCAAACGAGGCTTCTTGCCACCAGCATCCTCCCCATTTTCCTGCAACAAATCTCAGAGCTGTGAGCCCAAGGCTCTGGCCCACCGCCCCCCCCTTGCCCCTGGTGGGATGTCTTCACCATCACCCTTACTGGGTACCCCAACCTCAGTTGACTCCTACCTTGGCCCTGGTCCGCTGTAAGGTCCTCTGAAGTTTGCCAAGGAAGAGGACAGCATTGGAGGCCCCTGGACAGACTTGTCTGACAGGACCTGTAGGCAGTCAAGATGATAGAGTGGATGAAGGGGTCATATGTGGCCCTCAGGGACCATCCCAGACAAGCCCTCTGAAGATGCCTCTACTCCCGTCCCTCTTGCAGATACCCACCCAACCTAACCTACTCATCTACCCTCCTGCTCACCTGGGCTGCGGTCCATGCTTTTGAAGGCACTGTGGAAATGGCTGAGATAGGCGATGAGGCCCAGCGGGTCACTGCCGGCCACCACTGCCTGTGCAGACAACACTGGTGCAATGCCCAGCTCATGCTCCGCCACCCTCAGTGCCCAGGTGGTCACTTCCACAGCTCCCATCCCCTGCAGCTCTGAGGGTTCCCTGTGGGGTATTCAGGAGAGAAGACAATAGGAAACAAGAACTGGCCCAGGGAAAGAAGGAGGAGTTAAAGCCATCAGAGGCAGAGACAGCAGGGAGGGGCTGGGGGACCATGGAGGGAGAGAAGAGGGCATAAAGGTTTGTTCTCTCTGCTGCAGCTTCACCCCATTGAGAACCACTTTCTCTGACACTGGGGCCCTCTGCCACTCACAATGTCTTTCCCAAGCTGTGTGCACTGGGCAGGAGGCAGTCAGGCAGTGGAAAGTGGAGCTGGGTGTCTTGGGCATTCCTACCTCCTGCACAGCAATCTCCATTACCATGTGGTAGAGGGAGGAGCAGGGGCAGTGACACACTAGGTGTATGATTTGCTGGGGGACCCTTTGCTACTCCCCAACTCACAGCAGTCCAGGCTGGAGGCGGTGGACCAGGGCACAGAGAGCTAGCCCATCAGTCCAGGAAGAAGACAAGTCAGTGACATGGACTCCTGGGTACCCAGCTGTTTGCTCCTGGCACCAGTGTAAGAGCTCTTCCTGGGTGCCTGCTGACCCTAGAA